TGATTTATCTAGTAGATGAAGGTTCCCACGATATTAAATGATACTAAATGTGGAAGAATTAGATCTTTCAAGTCTTTCTGGAAAATGCATTATGTACACAATAGTAATCTATAGAATAGAAGGGAAAGGAAAAATGTGTGATATGTAGCATTTACTCATTTACAAATGAGTAAATGTTACATATTTGAAGTATCGGCTGTCTGGATAGCTCAACTGAGTTAGGTATCTGGCTGGAGAGGTTGGGAATTTAATTCCCCATTGCACCTTCCAAGAGAAAAGCCAGCCTGTGTAGCCTTGAGCAAGCATCACAGTCCTAGGGTGTCCCCAGAAGAAGCAAATGGTAAACCACTTCTGAGTATTTGCTACCTAGGAAAAATTGGAAATGCTTCCCACAAGTCGGAATCTTGATGGCACACAATTATTAAGCTGGTCATCTGGAAACTCCTATAAGCCTAACAGTACACAGGTACTACAGCAGAATTTACTTCCCACATCTTCTTCAGTGCTGCCTCAAAACTACATCCCAAGAGTTTCCAACCCACCAGAACAAGGTTTTCAGAGTGCATGCCCCAATCTTTGATTTAAGAGATTGAAGCAAGCCTGTCAGCAGATGACCTCTCTTGATTTAGGCCACAGAATGCAATTCTTACTAAGAAAGCTTATGTTGATTCCAGTCAACAGCAACGGATTTAAGCATGAAATCTAGGCACAGAGAGTAAGTGAAGTGAATAGAGTATACCGCTTGAGAATGGAAGGTGTTATTTCAGTTTTCTAGTCACACACATATTTGAGCAATTCATGGTTTTTCTGCCTAAATTCAATGCATTGTATTCTGCTAGTAAAATCTTTGCAGAACACACTGAACCTATATGCCTGAGCTGGGCTTTCTTGCTGATCAAGAGCATCTGAGCATATTTGCCCATATTATTGAATCAGACAATATTTCAAGTCAGCTGACCGCTCTATTGGAGTCTATAAAGCAAGCATAATTCCAACAGTATGGCCACTTAACATTGGCCAATAAAGACCAACAGAGCTGGAAGTCATCACGGCATCCTATTCGAAAACTCCGGATAACTTTTTTTCCAGTGCTGGTCCGTGGCCTGAGTTGGACCAGGCCACCGAGACAGACCTCCCACCCTCCACATGCACTCACCCCCACACAGCCCGTTTGCGCACGCCCGTGGGCTCCAACATGCCTGTGCGAGTGCTGCCATTTGCACATGCGCATGAGGGCACAGGGTGCCCTGCTAAAAAAGGTTGGGGATCGCTGTATTAAATTCTATAGAGCAGCGGTCCTCAACCTTTTTCAGACTGCGGACTGGTTGGGGGGTACGGGCTCCGTGAGTGGGGGGGCCGGGGAACCCCACACTCGCAGGTGGGCATGTCACTTTCACACAAGTGTGATACGCCCACCTGTGAGCATGATACGCCCACCATGTGCATGTGTGGGGGGGGTGGATATCCGTCTCCGCGACCCAGTTCCAGGAAGCCCACGGACCAGGTTGAGAACCCCTGCTCTAGGGGACAGGGCCCAAGTGTTGTGGGACACACTGGAGCAGTGTGGGGTCCTCTTTCAAACCTAGGGCCTATTTCAGAGAACTTAATTGCTCACATTTATTTATTTATTTTATTTACAATATTTTTTAGCCGCACCATTGCCAGTGGCTTTTAGCCGCACCATTGCCATGTTGACAAGGAAATTGGTGCAATAGCGTTCTCAAAGTGGCAGCTGTTACTAAGTGCTCTTTGAAACCTTCAATGGGACTTTTTCCCCTCTGAGCCTTCAGTGTTCACTAATAAACCTGGTGTATTATATACTAAGATTAATAACTATGTAGGAATAATCAAACGTGAGTGCTCACTGGAAGGACAGATCCTGAAACTAGCTGTGGCTCCAATACTTTGGCCATCTCATGAGAAGAAAAGACTCCCTGGAAAAGACCCTGATGTTGGGAAAGTGTGGAGGCAAGAGGAGAAGGGAACAACAGAAGACGAGATGGATGGACAGTGTCACCAAAGCTACCATCATGAATTTGACCAAACTCCGGGAGGCAGTGGAAGACAGGAGGGCCTGGC